CAGCAACATTACAATAACAATAAGTTTAGATCAGAAAAAACAAAAATTACTGAATCAGCATTTACGTATATTTATGTAGATGAAAAGAAAGAGAGAAAAATAACTATTATAATTCATATCACACATTACAAAAAGAAATCAAAAGCAACTTTCCTTGCATCTGCCTACCATTTGATTCAACATGCTATCGAATTCTTAGCTTCGAACAATTCAACTGATGTAAATGATGTTCGGCGACATTTATTTATGGTTAATAATGGCAAGTGTAACTGAATTTCAACATTTCATAGAACAGTTGTTTTATTATAGAATCGAACAGAACAGTATATGATCAACAGTTCATATCTTTCATGTGTGATTTTGGAGAAGTTTGTGATAATGCTGAAAATTGGTTTACATGTCGATTTATACTATTGATTGCAGCACCTAAAATTAATTTTTCAATTTTACAATCATTTATTCTTTACATGACTTATTATCAATTTGTTCATGCTCAATTATATACTTCTCAAACAGATTCAGGTGCCTTAACTCAACAATCATCACGTGTCAAATGTATATTTTTAGACGACACAAGTTGAATATTTCGTCGACTTTATTGTGATCAACTATATGTGCACAGATGTATCAGTCTATCAGTAAGCAGTTAGATTGTCTGATGGTAGAAAATTGCATGTTCCGAAGTTCATTAGAAATTGCAATACTTCACGTATCATAACATAGTATTAGAAGTATACTACAAAATTATTTTCTAGGTTTTATGCTCTTCATGAATTAACATTACTTCAAATTTTAGCGGAATGCAAAGCATCCACAAGACGAACAGTTAATGGTTTAAATTACTTCGCTGCTAGTGGAAGTGAGCCATTTGATGATCTTTTTAGTATTAATCAATGATCTTAATCTTGATACAGATGAACGTCGCTGTCTTATTCGTAATATAAGATGCGGCAAACAAGATTTGAAAACTGCTGTTAAGGTTAATGTGGCACGTACATGTTGAGTTTGTGATCATTGCTTATGCTTTTCACTCGGTGATCCAACATTTAACTCTTTTTCAATATCATGTTCTGATTCTGACTCTGATCAAGTATGTTCCGAATGTTAAGTGTACAAATTTACTCGTGTTTATGATGCTATCCCAACTTGGAAATGTCATAAATTACGATCTGGTAGTTAAGACCTCGGCAGAGAACCTAGTTTAGACATTTCTAGTCAAGATGCGATACACTTAAATTTAGATTTTGGCATGAAATAAATATAGAGGATTTTCTTCATCTAATCATAATTAAAAACCATATTTTATAAAATTCTTCTTTTTGTGTAAAATTACTATAGAGGTTTCAATAATTAAAATTTATGAGATTGTTTAATATCTATGAGGCTTAATGTTTTTATATTGTCATACCCAAGAGTATGATGGTGCATGGATCCTAAAAACATGATGTTTTCAAAATCAATATCACATTAAATAAACAATAAGATTTCAAAAAAGTTATTAAATATGTTATATTATAAAATATATAACAAGCTAGATAAGTGTGTAAATATTTAAAATGAAATTTTCGAAAGAATTCAGGAATAAAGTTGTCTATTCTTTACTGTAGATGGCTTTCTAGCAAATATAAGAAAGCTCAAACTGCTTTTTGTGAAAAGCGACGTATAACATGGCACATAACTAGGGTGTGGGTGTTCGTAGGCTAGAAAAAGATGCATACGTTCAGTCATTCTCATATCCATAGCCATATGCACAACCGTCTCGACATCCACGCCCACTCCAATAGCCATTCACGCTTACACCTCGAACATATAATTCTTTTCGACTCGTCAAGAAATTTGTTTTAGCTCTCACGTTGTTTTTTTTACGATGATTCGAATTGTCTGACCTCATTGAAATCATGATGATAAACTTTTCACAACGTCCAGATGAATTATTGAAATGCTCGTTGAGTCTTATCGTATCGAGGTTCTTTCTCTATATAAAATATATTTGTAATCAACGCTAGTCTCAATTGAACTATCAAAAAGTAGTCCGGTTTCGAAGTCTACTCAGGATCATGCTTGATATGTCGATGAAAATTCTACGTCTCATACAATAATCAATTTTTAGATTTTTTACATGTTGAGAAAGTAGGCAAAAAAGAAGTTACTCAACTAATAAATGTCTCTCAGAGCAAATGTGTACTTTTCACCAGATTCAAGCATGTAAAAGCTGGTTTATTAGTCCTTGATTTTGGTCTCACTGGACCCTATACATGTTAAAGATGAAATTTCTATTAAAACTATGATTTATTAGTCAAACAAAGATGCAATAAAATCTTTCGACTAATTGCTTCTGTAAAGAGACATAGCCAGTTATAGACAATGACAATATTAATTAAATACTAATGTTAAAAATCCTAGTTTGATTTTAAATCATGGATTCGTGTTCAATGATATTATCATTGTTTGAAATAGTATTGTTTTTTTCAGTTACTGTTCGTTTGACAATATTCTAGAAAAAGTATTGACAATAAAAATTGATTTAAAAATGAAAGAAGAATGATATTTACTTTTGTTGATGATGATAGACATGGGAATATGTCATATCGAGATACCAATAATAATGGATCGATTATTTTCGAATCTTTTGAATCTAAATCGAAAATAATTATATAATTTTAAAAATTTCAAAAACAAGATTTTTACCAAGAATAAAAGAAAAAATCATTCCAACAATAATTGTTAGAATAGTACCATTAAATATAAACCAAAGAGGAGATATTGAAAATAATGATACAAATATATTTGAACTATATAAGACAAAACAAAAAAATCATTTTATCATTTATAAATTTGTTTCAAATATGATAACCTTGTCGGTATTATCTGAGAACGAGTGACATTTATTGACGGTATACATTCAATAACAGAAGTATCTAATCGTCCTCCTTGTTTGCTAGCAGGTTTTAGTGTTAATATTGATCCGAAAAGCATAACAATTTGAAATATTAAACAAATAAAAAAGGCAACAATAGCACTCTACAAGTATGAAAAGAAATCTTATCTAACTTTTTTTTTTTTCTTTAATATGATTTACTTGATTTTTAACTCGTGATGTAAACAATCCAAGTAAATATAAACCAAGAATTGGAGCTGCAAATGCGCCAAATATTTGTAAAATTATCTTAATTAAAAATATTATTGATGAACTAAATGACAAATTTAAACGATACAAACTGTTATTATGTTGCTTTTCATAAAGGACACAACGAATGTCATAAATACTGTTAGACAGCCAATTACCGCCGCTAAATAATCGAAATACAAAAAAAAAAGAAAATTTTCAAAAAATTTTTACATAAAAATTTAGACAGAATTAATTGATGTTCGTTAGACATTGAACGTTTACTTGATAATCGTTTATAAATATCTTCAATAATAACTGTTGCAATACTATTAACTCCACTTGAATATGTACTCAATGTTGCACTTAATACAGAAGCTATAAATATTCCTGTTAAACCAGGATATTTTCCTAATGTTTCACTAACAAACAATGGATATAACTAAATAAAAATTAATTCATATTGAAAAGTTTATTTCGAAATTCTATTTAACTTGATCTGCTCTTGAAATAGATTTAGCTCGAAGAGGATCACATTGATTATATTTAGCATAGATTAAACATCCAGCACATAAAAATATCATCTGCATAAATACATTCAGTCCATAATGAACCCAAACAACTCTTTTCAAATGAAAATATATTTCGAAATTCGAAATTTTATTTTAAAATACTTTTGTGCTGATTTGGTATTTTTAACACACATATATCTTTGGGCTTGAGTTTGAATACATGCATATTGAGCTGTACTAGAAAATGTAGTACCTATTAATATACTCCAAATTGTATAACGAATTGATGGATCTAATGTGACACTAAATAAAGATATTTATTTGAAAATTTCATCAAAGAATTCGACTGATATACACTGAAAATTGCAATCGATTTCCGTTTTTGACTTTTTCAAATACAATCGATAATCCACCAGCATCAATAACACCTTTTGATTTACAACGAAAAAAAGAATTGAATTTTATTTAAAATCAATAATTCTTAATAAATACCAAAAATTATGGATAAAATAAGTCCAATAAACATTACTAATGATTGTAATACATCAGTCCATATAACTGCTTTTATTCCACCCTAAAATTTTATTTAAAAACAATTTATTTAATTGATAAAAAATCATTGTTTTCTTTTATTTTACAAAACTTGTATAAATAGTACAAACTAATCCACATACTCCAACCGCAATCCAAATGTTCAATCCAGTTACTTGACTTAAAGCTAAACTTGGTCCATATATAATAACAGCCATATAAAGAACCTTAATATATAATTTACTTGTTTCAAAATATTTCAAATTACGAGTGCACTACATATAATGTCACCATTAATATTTTGCCCCTATTTTCCTTATTATCTTGATTATTTAACTTCGTTTTTTTTTCAAAAGATTACTCATTTAATTCTGTACAAAACCATATGTACTTTAATATAGTTTGTTTGTTGAATCATTTTTCCGATAATGAAAAGTAAAGATCTTGAAAAATTTGTTTCTTTCTAAAAGTGAAAAGAGTGAAGATCCAACAAAAATCTTTCGAGACTTAACAGACACTGTAGATCTTCGGACAATCAAACATTGACGCAAGATGGTTTTCAAAACTGACTGTATTAGTCTCTCACTACCACCTAAACGTCTACATATAGTTTGAACAGAAAGAAGTATTGAAAAAGTAAAAAATGTCTGTTCATAAAATAGCTATCAAATGTGAAATTTCCAATAGAACTACTCGTTGAGTTCTCAAAAATGATTTACATCTACGATTCTACAAAGTAATTGTGGAACCGGCTATTTTTCGAACACAGAAGATTATATGGGTTCAGCTCACAAATTGGGTACGGAACAATTTTCGAAAAGAAGATAATAAACACTTTTTTTTCAACTTGTGAATGACTATGTCACTTCGAACTGTACGTGAACGTTCAGATGGTGTTGGGAGATCAATAGGGCCAGTTTTAGAAATTATCTTATATCAACGTTTCATTATTCGAAGATCTACAATGCCTGTTAAGTTTCGAAATATTTTGTTGAAACTTCATTTTTTTCGCTTTTAGAAAAAAAAAAAAAGGATGTGGGCGGGAATGACCATTTTTTGTCCCAAACCTTTTTTAACTTTCAATACTCTGAAATGTATCAAGGAGTTATTGGAAGTATTTCATGCTACTTAGTCTTGCATCTTTTCTTAGTTAAGGCCCCCTTTGATGACCCCCCCTGAGACCCACTCCTGGGGTCCCCCTCAGGGATCGAAAAAAAAATTTTTTTNAATGAACAAAAAGCATTACCTGTAACCACAGAAATCAAAGGTGGACGAACGAAACATAAAAGAAAAAATCTGGATTAGTGGGAATATCGATATGAAACTAGCTAAGTCGTAATAGAATGAAAGAACATCATTGAAGATTTGATTTTCGAAACTTTGACTATTTGAAATCCAATCAGCTTTTTCTTCCTTGGTCATTTATTACAACTAAATGGTAGAAAGAAAAGAACTTGTAACAGTTTTTAAATTTACATGTCTTTGAAAATGAACTACTGATGCTGAACTTTAGTTACGATAATTGAAATCTAGTGCAGCAGAATTAACCGCTTTCGTCATATGTTTTACAATAAAGAATCGCGTTTTCTACCATTGTTTTCTAGGAACTTTTTCCAAGAAATAGTCCAACTTATAGTTGACACGATGCTGACAGTGACGAAAGATAAACTACAATAAACTCAAAGAATCCTTGAAAACATTGATCGTCCAAGGAGGATCTTCTAATGTTTCGGGAGCTTTATTAGAATATTCTATTCTGTAAGAATATAATCAAATAATCTCTCGATTATTTATTTGCTTGAAGGATTGATTGGCTTTTCTCATTAGATTTTGACAAAGTTCATTTAAACTTTCTTCTTCAATTAGAATTCGACTGGTAAATATTGTCTATATGACTCTTTCAGTACAAGATGATGTGATCAAACTACCTATATAACAAAGAAATTGTCTTGGATTAGCTTGTATAAATTGACATAGATTGAATACAGAATTAATTGTATCATTAATATGAAATAATTGATCTGCAGTATGTTTATATAGTGACTATTGTTTATTTATGCTAAATGATTGATTTGGAATAATGAATAAAAATAAGGTGTGGCATAGACGTAAGCTAAGAGGAGACCTACACCCACATTTCTAGATGACTACCCTGAATTTTCTTTACTTGAGAAAGTATCATTGAAAAAGAAAGCGTCTTATAAATCTATTGTTACACTTTATCTAAGTCTTTATTTATATGTCAACGAAATGTTGTCATATTTGTGACTGTAAGATAAAAAAAAAAACTATAGAACACTCCTTTTTTATCCAAAGAAAGACATTATTCTAGATGTCTGTGGAAGGAAAAGAAAAAATGCGTTATTTTCATCGACGTAATAAACACAAAGCAGCAGTAACAATAGTAGGACTCAAAAATTGTGTAAGAATAAAATACGTTTTATTAATGTTTGTAAGAATTGGAATAAACTTAAATGAAAGATAAAGAATGTAGGTGTGTGTGCAGCGACTGCGAGTGTGAATAAGTATGAGTCAAAAGAATATCATACTCACATCCATCCCTCAGTTGTGAAAAAGAATAAAAGGAAACAAATCATTTGATTCTAGTTAATTTATTTCGAATGTAAAATGTGTTCGATAATTAAGATTATCGATTAATTTTCAAAATTTTTCGATTAGATTAAAATAATCGAATTTTTTCACACATTGGATATTATGCAAACACTTTGAAGTATATTGTTGTTCAATTGAATCATGCTCAGGATATTTGCACATAAAATTTATGTACATATTTGTTGTGTCTTGATATTTTTTGTTTTGTTTTAAAAAAGAGATCGCAAAAGAAATATGATGAACGTTAAACCATATTCAAAACAAAATATGTTGTTCAACAACAAAATAATGTATGCTTATTTATTTGAACTAAACAAGAATCCAATAGAGACAACAAATATTTCACATCAAAGAGGTATTAATGTGAAACGTTAATTTACTTGATCGTGACATCGGAACAATTGCAACGAATTGTTGTTGACTATTTGACCATTGGGCACATTCAAACATTTACCCATGACATAAATACGATTTTGTGCATTAAGTACGGAACGTTGATTTTTTTAGACTGAACGACAATGAAATAGTTGTACACCTTGATGATCATATCCTTTTACATCGGGAATATGCAAACATTTACCCATGATGCGAATCGTACCATCAAGATGCAATTCAAATTGTTGATTTTTCTTTCCGTGGCAACGGAATAATTGAATTTGAGAGTGAAGTTTTCCATCACCACCAGCAATGTCGAGACATTTGCCAGCGGTCGTATTATCATCAATAGTGATAAGAAAACGTATAGATGCTACAAAGGCATAGTCAACGTGTTTTTGGAATCGGTATTGAGAATTACGATCAAGATCTGTTCATTTCTATTACAGACTCTTCATTCGGCAAAAACGGCCAGCTTACCAGTTGATTCCTCCGTCATTTTCATCAGAAACTGTCAGAAGAAAAATGGAACATGGAAGCAGTATTCTGAGTCGAAAAGATACCGAATTCGGTTTCAATTTTCACGATAATCAGCTCAAATGAGCACAAACAAAACATAAGTATGTCATTTTTACTCGAAAAAATCACAAATCTAATTGATTATTAAAAGACTCATAGCTAGACCAATTTATACTAGAAGACTGTTTTTTTTAATACTTATCATTAATTCTGAATAAAAAATGAAGCACAATATAGCTACTGAGGAACGAAAGATCTCTCTTGGATCCTATTCGATATGAGGCATTAATGTGGCTTGAAGATTATCGAGGTTCTAGAGATTTTAAAAAGTAAGCCTTAAAAAGAGTTTTTTTGAAAAGATATTATTCTACAGATTTTAGATTAAATGGATTGGAAGGTTCAGCTATAAGTGGATTTTCATTTTCATTGAGTAATCAATAGTGGGTTAGAAAGGTTAACTAAAGATTTTTTCAAGTTTTGTCTTAAATCGATATAAATTCTTACTTAAATTTAGACTTACCTGTATAAGTGTATCAAGTTACGTGCAATGTTTTCGTGCAACTAGGCTAAAAACAGTTAGATACGCCTATTATCCTCGTAGTCGAAGACCATGTCGAAAATAGCAAATGTAACTGAATATTATTATCGGATGAAAGAATAAGTGGACACTAAGCTGGAACTCTCATGAAAATTTGCTTTCTGACATTAATCTGGAATTTTTCATATCTGTTAATTTTCTGTCATATGGTTTAATCTAGACTTTGCTAATGTTAAAGAAAGAAATTAAAAAGAAAATTTTGATATAAATATACATAGGTTAACTATGTAGTATATATGTATGAATTTTTCGCATAGTTTCAAATTCATGATAAAATTATATAGGAAATACTAAAACAAATCTTATGAGAAACTGAAATACTGTAAATTTATGAAAAGTATCTGTAATAGATGAAAGAAAAGGAAAGGTACAAACCTTGAACTGATCGTCATTTGCATATACGTTTGCTCTGATCTCAAGCTAATCCTACTGGACAAGACATCAAATAGGCAGTTCCAATTGCAGATTAAAAATATGTGTGCTTATCATCTGGATTCAAAAAGAAACCGTCAGTTGGGCATACGAATCAAAGAGCCATTGAATTTAATACAATCAATAGAAATGCGACGATGAATGTGTTGTTCATGGTATTTGTGTGTCAATGACAATAATCACAATAAAAACAAGAATATTTTATCTTCTTATATATAGCCGAATATTTTGGTTGTGCACAAGTACAGACATGTGCTAATTCTTGAATTGTACCATGTAACATTAATTTGATTTCATTATTTCTCCATTACACTAATCATATCATATAATTACCGAAAAAATTGCGGGTAGTAGTTATTGTAACATTATCCGGTATCAATTTTGTTGTTGCAATCATGGCAATGCATTTTTTTTTCAATCAAGTTTAACCATAAGTGCATAAAATAAAGCTACTATTTACTTATCGACTGTAACCTTGACATATATTTTTGCACATTTTGAAGATCAATCAATCTCATCAATTATTAAATTAACACAAAAGGTTTACTTGTTACAGTATAATCACTACAATCACATTGTACACCAGCATATTTAATAGTATTGCTTTTAGTATATATTAGAGATGGTTTTATGACAGTTAGAATTATTGATCATTAAATATCGGTTTTAATGAATATTTATTGCTTGAAGAATGATCCAAATAAAAACTTTAAAATAATTAGGAAGTAACAATGAAAAATATAATCACTACTTTGTTTCTATTTTGATTAATTATTATCGAAATAATCTATTGATGGGTTCATTAGGATATAGACTTATCAATTTTGACACCAACGAAAACATCGATTAGTTATTGAATGAAAAATTTTAGTAACAGTTAGAAAGTGAATTGATTGGAAAATATTTTTGTACATCGATCAGCACTGTGCAATTTTATATAAAAAGTCGAATCATATATAAAAATAATTGATGAACAAGACAATTGAAAATTTTTCGAATGATATGAGTAATTCATTATTGATTGATAAAAATAAGAAAAACTCAAGGGAGAACCAATGGAGTCTCAAGGATTCCACTGACTCTAACTGGTCTCAGCCGACCAAAAAATAGTAGACTGTATGACTACAAAAGCCTTATTTGATTGGTTAAAAAGTGAGTGCTAGACAACCATCGTTGAGCATTTACTTAACATATGGTCGACATTTTTGTTTGTTTTCAGATACATCAAGATGTTAACTGATGACTATCACTTGATCTTAATTCACTTGGTTGTTGTTTGCGTAAGAATAGAACGATTAAGGTTGTTTTCATTATTTGCTAGTCTGTATTTTGTAGTATCGAAGTAGTACATCTACTGAAGGAAAGTTTGAAGGATGACTTGAGAATTGATTCCTGTATGACTCAAAGTCGACTTCAATATTGAATAACGACAGATGGATGAACGATATTAAGCTCAGCAAGCATGGTTATCAGTGTATTTAGTTGCGAATATTAATGTTCAGCAATGGTTTTTACTGGAAGATACTGACATTTCATCTAGTGATCTCTAAACACTATGCCAAAAGTCGTACCAAACTTAATATTTAACAGAAAAAGCAACATGATGAAATTGATTTCTGTTTTCAACTGCGGTTACCTATTGTTTGATACGAAGTTCAGTTAGAATGAAACAAATCAAATTCAACTGATTACAGTGTTTAGATCGTGAACATCGAGCAATACTTTGTAGTCGTCATGATTCGATAAGATACAGAAGCCTTGACTGAAGCTTTCATATTTCGATTTTTGTTGACTTTTGATCAAAGATCGATTTGGCTTGTTACAGAAAAATTTTGATTTGTTTCAAACATTTGTGATTGAACTTTCGCTTGTAACTCTATGAGAGATTAGACGTTCAATATTTATTTACATGTGAATATGGATGTGAGTGTGGGTATACATATTGGTATTCAAACTCTTTTCTCTAATATCCACACCCATTGATGAAAAGAAAAACATTGAAGATGAGAAGCATACCATGAATGAATGCAAACACGAAAAAAATTGATTCTCGAGCAAGCAAGCTCATTCTAAATAGATTATGCAAATCAATATGCATTTCTTCATAATGCGAGGGCGTGAGTATCGTTCAGAAATACATCATCATTGACAATGATCAACTTCATTCATGATCTATTCGAGAATCTATTGATTGATATTTAGCAAAATGAGACTTTTCTAGACGAGACTTTGTACATTATTTTATACTTGAATAAATGAAAGTTATATTATTATGAACATGAAACGATATTTCCAAAGACGATCTAAAAATTAATAATTTTGATTATACCGGTTGTCCTAAAAGTTCATTGGAAAAGTGAACGCACATATCTCTTACACAATGTAACGAATTTTCATATATTTTTATAATGTGTTACAAGGTTCTTTGAAGTTTCGTTTCTTGTAATTTGTTTTACAACGAATATTCGCAATGATGACATCCAACTGAAATACATAAGCCTGTTGCTTTCAAAGTGTTTAAGAAAAGGTATATTTTGCTATTTTATCAATTTATTTTCGTTCCGAATGCTCTTTTGAAACTGAACTTGATATTCAATAAGCATCATATAGAAACTTATTTTGATTTTATGTTTATTGATACACTCATTGAAATGAAAAGTGACTTCGTTTAAAAATGAATAGATTCTTTTGTTTGTGGGTGTGAATGTGAGTGTGGAAATGGGCTTTCTCTTCACCAAGTATGACTCGTGCTTTCGATTACGATCGAATTGCGGCGCAATTATGCGTAGTTACGATTGAAATGAGTCGTAGTTGCGTCGTAACTGCATCATATTTCAATCGTAACTGGAAAAAACTACGACACAGCTACGTGCAGTTACGATGAAAAAATCGCAGTTGTGCGTAAATACTTTTTTTAACCATGAGTAACTGCGATCTTTTTTGTAACTGTTCGTAATTGTGTCGCAATTTCGAAATTTCGAATCATAGTACAATTGCAGTTGCTAAAAAAAGATCATATGAGAACTATATAATATGGTGATAATAGAATTTGAAAAGATTCATATAGTAATGAATCCTTTATGATTTATTTTGATATGAGTTTATAATGAAAGTATCATTTAATAACAATAGAAGTATGAATAAAAATAAATTTATTCAATTTAAAAAAATAGGATGAATAACACATGATTTCGACGGTAACTCAAAAGAACAAACAATGATTATGTAGGAAAGGATAAAAATAATTTTCTCCTTTTCAAAGAAAAAATATAATTTGCTAGGTGTGCATGTGGGTATGTGTTTTCTCTTAACAGACTTCCAAAGCTACTGTAACACTCACATCCTCACTGCTTGGAATGGCTCAGTGGCAGCGGTAATAGCTTTTGATCGGTCCTATTACTATTATTTTTTGCTCGCGTAAGACGCAAACTGCAGCATTTTTTTAGACTAAAATTAACGTAGCTTCAGGCGATTGCCACGCGCTCACTGACGAAAACTGTAATAGTTTAATAGTAAATAACTTACACATTAGTTGGAAAGAAAGGAGAAAAGAAAAAAAGCAACAGTATTTTTTTTATTTATTCTGTGTGTGGAACACTTTTTTTTTCTTTTTAAATAACACAAACGAAACTTCTGTTGCTGTTATATACTTGGAAAAGCTAAACTGTTTAGTCTGCCACAACATACACAACCCATGCCTTTCTCATTGGCTGACGAAACTTTCACACGTTTGACTGACGTTCGATTCGAACCTGGCAAATTCTTATCTCCAATTGAAGGCTACGAGAAAGTACAATTAGTCTCACTTGAACAAGCTATTCAGCCTCTTCTCTCTATCGTCTCTGATATTGACCGTAGAGCTTTCATTGCTCATCAACGTTGTCAAAATCCAGCTGACAATCTAACCATAGATGAATCTGCAGCTATCTTTCTCTACACAATGGAGTGGCCCAACTGTGTATATTCACTTCTCAACGAGACTCTAACAAAGGAAGATCGAAATCAACTCCTCCCATGGTTTTCATACCTAAAACTTCTCTTAACTGCTCTCTTTAAACTACCATCGATTAGATGCACTGTATGGCGTGGAGTTAAAGGTCTCGATTTAACCACTAAATACCCAAAAAATGAAAACACAGTTTGGTGGAGATTTAGTTCGTCAACCACAGTGGTCGAAGTTCTAAAATCGGAAAATTTTTTGGGACAGCACGGATTACGTACAATGTTCAATATCGAATGCCTCAATGGTAAAGTGATTAAAAATCACTCTAATTATCAAGAAGAGAACGAAGTTCTTCTACTTCCTGGTACACAGTTTCAAGTAATCAGTCATTTGGATGCAGGAAATGGTCTACAGATTATACAAATGAAAGAGTTGGAAAATCCACGATACCTAATGTTAGAACCACCGTTTCGAGTTGTTAGATCCCAGTACATAACAAGTTCAACTCTTGTTGCAGCTTCATCAGCCGTTCCTTCGGTTTCTGCTACAAGCGTTGCGCAACCTACTGCTGCAACAGTTCAGTCATCTCGAAATAATGATGGCTCAATGCCGCACTATACTCCATTTGCTTCATCCCTTGAAGACATTGATGTTGATGAAACAGCGCACGAAATTAGAACTCGATTTATACAAGCGAGTAAAGGTGATTTTTTGGGAGCATTCAAATGGGGAAAATAAACTGCATTAAATTTTTTTTGAAAAGGTACCGCCTTTTTTTATGTTGTAAGAAATGGGTTTTAAAAAATAAACAAGAAGTAACGCTCAGATAGCGTTAGATTCCGAGGATGTGGGTGTTGATTAGAGAATGTCGACACCTACATCTATCTAGAAAAAAATATATCTTTTCAAATATTTTATTCTAAGGTTTATTTAATATGACTCGAAATTAGCATCTTTTATTTTATTGAGTTATTCAATAAGTTTTATCTAATAGAATTATTGATCCCAGGTGGAAATAAGAAAAATTTTACTTCAACTTTGAAGAGTAATATTGTTCTTTGTTTTTGATACTAATTAATTGAACTTGTTCCAAGTAATCAAAAACCATTTATGTAAATATATTAAATTAGATCAAAATATGATTCTTAAGATTTTTCAACGAGTCGATGAAGTATTAGATGGAAATATTATTCAGTAGGAATCAGAGATGTTAGTTGTTTCTTTTTTTTTGACCTGACCCGTCAACCCGACCCGTTGGGGATCGAACCCGGCCCGCTTCACGGGTTGAATGATTTTTTTTCGATCCGTGCCAACCCGTGACGGGTTGGTAATTCTTCAACCCGTCACGGGCTGCCCGCGGGCTAACCCGCGGGTTAATGAAAACTTTATTCGTGTAATATTTATTGACAAATTCATTAGTTTTTCACTGACCCATTTGTTTTTAACCTGTGAAATTCATATTTTTATAATTAGAATATTATTTAATTTATTTCTGAGCATATTCATAAGCATTACAAAATCTCAATTAAAGCCCAAGAAAATTAACAAAATTTGATCAAATGTACAATGTTAATATAGCACATACTGTTTGAGGTATCGTAGATGCGGCCCTTCTTTTTCTTCACATCCTATAAACAAAACTTGAGAGAAAACCGAATTTAGGATAGATGATACAACAGTTCTGTATGTTTTTA